CAAGAAGGAGGAGAGCCTGGCGTTAGCCAGGCGATCCGATATCTGTACATTTACCAAGCTTTTACTGTCATTCATTTTGCCTTCGTTCCAAAACTTCCACCTCTGCACTGCAGAATGTTGTGTTATCAGTGCCGGATTATTCCAATTGCACTGAAATTTAGCGGAGATACTCTTCCTTAGCCCATCTGTCTTTTTTCTCTGAATAATCGCCTTTTTGATACTATACGATGTTCTATTCGAACACAGCGAAGATGGCTTACAGAAAAAATCGCACCCAATTTGCAGCTGATCTCCTTATCAGCTTTTTGAGGTGCGCCGAATATGAAAGCGCCCACAATTGGAACCAAAGAAAACAGTAACTGTTCTGGTAACTCCTATAACACAAGAAACCCCAAATTGTGCTCAAGGAAAAGTTGTAATCCCAAATTTCTCTCGCTGCTTGAGTTTCAGATCATAACGAGATTGTTGCGTATAACAACAACTAGACATGTAAATGGTGTCTATGCACATGGACGCACACAATAACTGCAATCACTAAACACCCTCGGACTCGTAGTTGATCTGAAAAAGCGTTCACGTGAAGCGGGAAGGAAACTCACCATAGTACCTCTTCCTCCTCCACGGATGTATCCGACTTGATATGAACGGCCAGTTACTGTACGCGATGTTGGAGGCGTAAGCGTCTGCAATAGGCGGGAAGTGTCCATTCGTGGCGTAGAAAGTCGTGGGCGCTTCGCAACACGGGGTTCCCATCCTGTCAGTTCAGATTCTTCTGTGTGGGTACTGTCGCGACTCGTTTCATCTTCTCTTTCATTAGGAGTGGAGAGGCGCTTGTATTCCTGGAACCGAATAAAAGCTGAGAAGCAAGCGTGTAATAAAATGACTCTTAGTAAACGCTAGAATTGGAGCACACTAATCGAGGTGTATCCAAAAAATATTCACAGTTCACGTTAACACTATTCTCAGTTACATGATATTAATCATGGCTTAAACATCATCATATACCTTACAAACACCTTGTAGATTTGGTGAATTTTTCGAAAATGAGAACGAGTATACGACTTTAACAAATGGACTTACGCGTGCCTGGCACCCCTTCAGCCTTCTTTATTCCTACAAAATCTTTTCTGGACGCCAGGCCTTGGTTGGATTGAGTAATAAATCTGTGGGCAAAGAGCCGCTTATTGCGAAAACGCTCCGCTCACCACGAAGGTCTTCTTTCTTTCATTTGCTGACCTATTCGTCAACTTTGCTCATTTTCTACCAGCTCTGGGCTATTCTGACCATATCAAGATGTTTTGACTGAGCATGGCTTTGCCTGTTCCGGTAAAACCTCACAGCTTCGCCGAGCTCACACATGCTCCGTTGATTTTGACTATACCCAGCCCATCTCAATCTTCTTCAGGCACTTCTTCAGGTAATGACGAACAGAAAGACAGACGCAACGCGTAATTTATAGTAAGAGTAGGAGATGCTAATAGATATGTATTTCAAAAGAAATGTTGAGAGCGAGCTGTAGACTTTGGAAGGATACATAAGAAGATCAGCCAATGCAAAATGTAAGTATACCACTCTGTTAAACAAATCCGGTAGCACTCATTGTTTGAAGACCCTTAGAAGTGATTATAACGGAATCAATTCGATGCAAGAAAATGTTATGCGGCCTTTCAGTTATTCAACTTCAATCTATCTAATTACTATTATTACTTAATTATTTAATCATTTATTTTAGCACGTTGTATGAAACAACTTTCGTGGATATCCAGGTAAATCGATAGCTTTGAAGGCTGTTTAAGAATAAAAATTCAAACTGCAAATAGGCGTTCCAAAAAAGTTGTAAGCGCTCAAAATTTGCTCAAAGCTATAGCTACTCAATCATTATGGCTTCAATATTCAAGATCGACGCAGCGATCGTTTACGCTTGTCGCACCTATACAGGACAGGATGGTCCTGCACGTAAATTGTACGCCTGTTTTGCTTCAAACCTTGAAACACATTCAACATAAAGATGCAGGAGATGATTAAGATATGTGAGGAACTCAGCGCGATGCATTCTTAGCCCGCACACCATTAGAAGTAGAATTTGGTCGAAACATTTTTAGCAAGCAAACAAGGTTGTGTATGATCTCGAAGAAGAAAGCATTATGAACTGTTATGACGCCTTCCGCGGCGGAGTCATTAGGTAGTTGTGGTGAGTGATAAAAGAGAAATGATTTATATAGTATTAGCTTACATTTATTCGTTGCGAAGTCCGAGATCGTTCCGCAGTTATTATTGGAGCACGACGTAGCTGTTGTGGTGTCGGTGTTGAGGGAGCCCGCAGTGGAGGAGGAGGAGTGGGACGAGAACTAACCTGGCTAGAGACCGTTTTTCGCGCAGCGACAACATTAGGAGTGGGGCTCGCAGTACGTTCTTTAGTTGGTTCTAAATATATATTCCGCGCTCATCATGAATATCCCAGCACAGCAAACTCAAAAGGCTAAAAACGTACGAGGGGGCCTCAGAACTGGTCGCGATAACTGAACTTTTTGCGGTGTAGACTGGGCTGGCTTGATTCGATTCGTAAATCGCTCACTGAAGCCTCTCCAGTAATCACTGAATGATACAAATTACATGCTTTGCAGGACAGTACAAATGCACTTTAAGGACGCACTAGATTTCGTAGAGTTTCAGATCCACCCCATCAACCCACTCCTCTTTGATCTGAGTGACTCGTCTGATGCGAGATGACTGCAACTGAGGCTTTCTCCGCCTAGCGCCTGAAAAAGCAGTATTGTTCACGGAAATACGAGAAGAGGTATGCAGATGTACTTTTTCTTCGTTCCCGTTCACTGCTTGTCCATGATAGATCGTCTTCTTCATCAACACCATTGTCGTCGTCCAGAGGTAGAACTTCGATTGAAATTCGGTACCTGGAAACATTAGTGTCCTGAGAAGTCGAGAAAAACAAATGCCTATAGCGACCTCTTTGAATACTAGCTAGCTTCCAAGGGTCAGGAGATTTTTCAAAGTGCTCTTAACAAGGACTCAGGCTCTGAGAGAATAAGAACCTATAGATGAAACATGGCAGTAGTTATTCTGTATAGCACCCATAGCTCGCGATAAAGAAAAAGCTATCGGCGACATGTAGCCTCTTCCATATTTTGCGCTGTTCGATGAGCATAAGATTGCGGGCGGCAGGCCAAGCTTAATTCTGAAAGAAGCAGATTTTGGTGTTAACCAATGATCTGTCTGGCCAGTCCATAATAGAGAGAACGGGGCATTACAGATTAGCGCAATTCTATCTATATAGTATTTGTCGTTCATTTCAAAAGGAGGCATCAAACAGAAACGTAAATTCAGAATGTAATCAGTCCAATTAGTTATGTTGCTGTATGGTCTTTCCCGAACGTATGACAGTGGTACAACACAATCCAGTATCTGTCCGCACCCTACATATCCAGCGTTTACTTTCCCAAGTCCTCTTCGACGCGTCGTGCACCTTGAGGCTCTAGGACTGGTGTATTCAGATACAGTCATGCCGTGGAATTAAGATGCTGTGCATGAATATCTGCGTGTGTTTTAACACCGTAAGAATTCGTATAAACCAGGTCTTGTGCCGGATTTCACTTCTGCGCGGTGTGAAACACTGCAAACGCACAGACTATGACTAGTCCCCTATTCAAAAAAGTGCATAATTAGTCCATAATCAAACAAATGAAATCACGAGTCACATCAAGAACTTTAGGTACAAGGAGTACCTAAAAGAATCGCGCTTATGCATCCAGAAATCCAAAAAAAAAAGAAGAATACACTTATTAATCTCTTTTTATGCTGACCTGTGCTAATCTACCCATGTATGCCCAATAAGTCTGAGAATTAGGTAAGTTATTTACCAACTAAAAAGCTGCGAAATTCCAAACCAGATGTTTATAACGCACTAAAGCCTCCCAACCTCAGTCATCATGATATCATTTACTTCATATAATGCCCACGTGTCTTTCTTTCAATAGATTTCTCTGTTCCGCTCGCCCACAAAACTTTCCTTGATTACGATGGAGGTCGTGGTACCAACCGATTTCTGGTAAATAATATCGACTTGCGGCGTATTTGAACAAGTCACCACTTCAATGAAAGCGCACACTAGGACGAAGACGTCGATATTAAAACCCATTAAGTTTTCTGGCGTCCATACGACACTACAGTCTGTGAATTAAAAGAATAAATACGCGGTACTTCTTAGGATCAATTTGAGGAGACAATTGACAGTCAGTCTCATTTGCCGCTGATCTCAGGTCATGTTTGAGAGCAAATTTCCCGTTCAGCGAGTAATCGCAGTACTTATAAAAATATCCCAAACCAAACAATAAAATAAAAACAAAGCAGCAAAGCATTATATCAAACAAGAGGCATGGTGAAATGAAATGAAAAACGAATAAATGAAAAATAAAGCGATGAAAAACAGCTCTTAATTAGGTATTTAAAAGAATCCGCTGAAGTTCGACAGAAAAAAAGTAAAAATACTCAAGATAAAAGAATTGGAAGAATAACTGAAGTAGTAGGATGATATACCTCTCATAAATACATGGAGGTGCGTACTCCTTGTGTAAAGAAATCCATCGACGTTCGTCGCGATCAGGATAATGAATGACGACTCGCCTGTCAGGGTCCTCAAAGCAAAAAATATTGAAGCCGATAGTAGAATCGAAGGATATACAGAATCACGAGCACAAAAACGATGCTTAGAAATTGTTATTGCTTAGAAAATGTTGGAATGACCGGAAACCCTCTATATTGCATTACATTCATTTCATTTAGAATTTTGAGGGGAGTGATTCTAAAAAATTAATTTAACACGATTAAAAATAAAGTCTTACATCATCTTCCGGTTTCATATCCTGCCAGCGAACTGAAGCCCATAATATACGTAGCTGTAAAGCGACAGCTTGCAACGACGAGCAGTTGACAGTTAGCCATCTGCAATAGCAACAACAATAAACCGAAACAATCACGAAAAACAAAGTCTGTAGCGAACGAATGAACGTAATGAGAGGAACAGCAATTACATAACAACACTCAGAATTAAACTATTAACACCGGTTTTAAAATCGTTGTGACTAACCTCCAGCACAAATCAAAACAAGGACGAGGCGTGGGATAGTTCCAGTATTGCAAGTTTCCTTTTGCTGTTGCCGAAAAACTCGGCACATAAATCGCTTTGCGGCCTCCAGTTTTCGCCAAACGTCGGAGTGTTCTTTAATAGGAAAGGTTCTCTAACGATAATGAAAGTTAAAACTGAAAGATTTGTGTGGCATACACTTGTGGTACGACGAAAATACTTGTACGCTTGGATCCTCGCGAAACAAAGTAGTTGACATCGGGTAATGGCCAAGGCAGATCTTCTCCAAGAACACCTTTCCGTGGAACTGTAGTTCTCGAAGGGTCATATGCCTTGACTACGCCAACGCATGAAACTGAAAACAGAAACAAAACTTAGTTGAAAGGAAATCAACAAAAGGTAGAGAATCAGACTTGGTCCAGAAGACTGGAATGGACTGCGCAAGCCTCCAACACCAGTTTCTTGCTGTCGACATTCTAATGAATAGCACGACTGATATCCAGCATTAACGTCGTCGGAGCATACGGATCTGACAATAGAATCATTCTGTACCACTCCGCAGTCATACATTTGATTGATTGTCTTCGAATTCACTACCTAGATGGGATACCAATGCGACAGCTCGGGGAGTAGCACACACAGTTGTTTTTACGCTTGCACATCATTTCCTGCTCCGTTCTCCACTGTTTCAAGCGTGTTACTATCTCTTCGAGTCGAGTAATCTTTTTGTTTATTGTCACCGTCTGAGAGGAACTCATATAATAATTTGCATTGAACATTAAGTCAAAACAATGAATTTCAAGTTAAATCTGTCATCATTACCTCGTCGTTGGTGCCTTGTTCTCGAATGTTTCTAACCAGAGTACGCGAAATCCAAATCCAGCCCCCAAGAACTCCTCGCCCAAAGACGCGATATTTTTCATCCTGTAAACAAAAAACGACTGACATCTCACTTCAGTACTAATAAAACGAAGAACTCACCCTCATTCTGGTCAGCTCGCGACTGATTCCATGGGGCATTCTTGTGTGTTTTACCACAATGATCTCGTCGTCAAGAGCATCTACCCCCTCCTAAACAGGAAAATATTAAAACAAAAATAATAAGCAATCAAGGCAAGTCGTTACCCTTTCTTCTTTCTTTCTTCGTTGGGCTTCCTTCACTAAGCGTTCGCGGTCTTCGACAGTAGTGCGTGTTAGTCGAGTATGACCGAGATTGTTCCACCACTGTGGTAAGAATAGGGTGCGTCGCATGCCACACTCTAGCCGCAAAAGTAGATCCCGAAGTTTCTGCCATGACGTTGTCGGAGAATCCAGCTCCTTAAATTAAAACTAGAAATTGAAAAGCTTGACGTATGGGGTTCCTTAGAACTTGGCGTTTGTTTTGCTTAAGTCGTTTATATCTTGACCTCTCACGCAGCTTTTGTTAAAAACTATTGGACCAACGCTAACGCGTTATCGCCTTTTAGATAACCAGAAATGGATCGAAAGTAATATTGAATATTCGATCTAAGGCTTTCGCAGTCTAAGTTCGAAATCCCCAGAACATGCACGTACCGAAAGGGGCCATTAAACACCTTGGCTTCGTGGACTACTCAAAATCAAAAAAAGGCGATAGTGGGATTTGTACCGCCTCAGCTTGATCTCCATGGAGACTACGATGGGAAAGCCAAACTTATAAAAGGTATCCGTGCCCGCGTAATTGTAGGCATTCTTCCCTCCGATCACTTTTGGATTGATGGCTTGTAGGGATGTGGGAACATTTGATCGAATATTCACATACTGTTTCTGATCCTTGTCAGGTTATAAAAAGGCGATACGCCAAAACGTTAGCAGAATAAAGCTTCCAATTAAAAACCAGCCAGTGTTCAAGATATAGACTACATCGAACAATGGAAAAACCCTCTCACAAAATAACTCAAACAACAACCTTTTTGAAAGAAGGTAAGGCATCCCGCCATTTTCGCTGCATCAGCTCTATTGGAATTTTTCTCAATATTTTCCCAATTGTCCACGCAACATAGAGAGTCTGGAGCCTCTCACTTCCGTAAAGTGTGTGTCCTTTCGCTATGGACCACTAAAAGATGGGAGACGATAGTTAATAAGCTCTCAGAGCAACAGTTCGAAATACAGCGTCTATGTAGAAGAGATAAAACTGAAGCGATTAGAAGAAAATGCAACATTCACAAGGTACAACATCATAAAGTGGTTATCACCACAGAAAAAGCATGAAAGAAGCATCGCTCACCTCAAAAGACCATTCCCCTTCTTCCAATAGCGAAAACTTAGAACACAAATACTTCTTCTTATCGACCATTTTCTTCTTTGTCATAGGATGCTCGCCAAACTTGTGTTCTACGAAAAAGTTCGTATACTTACTGAAATGAGATTTATTCGATCAGCGCGGTTCACCTAAAATGCCAGACACTAAAGTCACCTGAAAGAATTGTCATTTGACGGACAACCCATTCTGAACAAATTCGACGGATCAGGTCGTAGCAGGCCTTCTGAACCATCTTTCTTGAGCTGCAGCAACTCGCTTTCTGAAGTTCAAGAAACTATAGTATCTCAAGCGTTGAAAAGGTAACGAAGGTCGAACTCCAACGATACAAGCCACTACTACTGAGACAATGCTCACCATCCATGAAGCACAAGTCAATATATCCCGTACTTCCATTCTTGCGGTAACAATTGCTAGATAAATATGTCTAACCTACCCTCCACATTGCCACTCCAGAAATTATTTACAAGGCGACCATGAGATAATCCTAGCATTGTTTTGAAGTAACCAATCAAAGTGGTCATGGCCTCCTGAAATTTTCCTTCCTATAAAGTTGCAACTTGAATTTTACTTCAAAAACACACTTCATCCTCTCCCGAAGGCTCTTCTTCAGAGTTATCTGTTTTCATATCTCCAACGGGCTCAGCCGACAATATTTCAGCCATTAGATGCACTGAAACCGGATTTTGCTCGCTTGTTTGATAGAAAAACTTGTGGAATGACCTACTGTTGTCTTGTTGTAGATAAACTTCCGATGGCAGTGGTTTATTTGCATTGTAGTTTTCTCTGTATAAGGTGTCTCTTCGATCAGACGATAGTTCCAGAGTTACAGACATCTGTAAGCAATAGAAGCTTCGACCAAAATGAATAAGCAGTGGGTGTTTAGATATTACCTGCTCGAGAATATCGCTTAACCTTTCGAAAAACACCTTACACAGATGAAACTCATAGAACGATGGATCCATCAGCTTCACAAGCTGATAAAACTGCGGCGCTGTTGAATAATACCGTAAATCAGATTCATCTATATTATGCCTGAAGAACGCAATAAAATATTAAAGCGGACACTAATTCAACAAGCAAAATTCTTCTAGAATACTCACACAAATATTCTTCTTGCCACAAACCAATAGAATCTACCGTGGCGATCTCGGCCGATCGGTTCCATACGCAAAGGCTGCTTTGACGGATACTCATCCAATGGTAAGCAATCTTGCACTCCCCGCACCTGGGTGGTTTAAGGATAAAATGCACGAGAGGAATGACGTTTGGGCTGATATGGTTCGTTTTAGGCGCTTGAATGGCCTAGGAGTTTGTATCAAACAAAAATACCTTGTTTTTTTCACAGAGCTCACAAACCCATTCATCGGGTTTAAGCTCAAGGCTGACACAGCCAATATGGAAAACAGCTTCACATGTATCGCATTGAATAACGTCGCCACCTTTGCTGCATGCACGGCATGTCTCTTCATGCTAAAGTAACATCTAATGAGTAATGAAGAACAGGTAGGGCCGAAGACGGGCTGTAACTCACCTCAAGACGTCCACCGGTAGCCACCACCGTTCTTTTATACTCATTAGAATAAAGAAATCGATAACTGAGAAATGTTATGAGAACTAAACGCGTAGGAAAATCTACAAAAGGATAATTAGGGGCATTGACCGCTTCCATAACTTCAGCTGGAACGTTTGGATCACAGGACAGGTACTGCCGAAGAACCTTAAAACGAATAAAATACAAAAAACAAGTTCTCAAAACTATGCATATAGCTGACCCAAGCGTGCGAAAGTTTCTCAAATAGAGTAAATTCATATTTTAAACAAGTTTTTGAAAACTTACTTCAGCATAAGTCATTGGTTCTAAACAGGCTGTAATAATATTATACGCATTATTCGTTTCATTTCCAGAAAAGTGAACCTAAATCAAGGGAAATAAGATCCAAAGCTTAAGGAAAACCACAGCAAACCAAAACAACAAGCTCAAAGAGATCACTCACCTGCTCTTCATCATCATTTTTAAAACACATCCTAAGTAGGACAATGTGAATTTCTGAGAGCAAGCGTGAGTTATCCGAAGAGGACAGAGCTGCACAGAAATCTTCAAACAAAAATGGCGACAGCCGTAACGTACGCCAATAACTACGCAGAAGTTCATAGAGCTGAAAGAAAATAAGAGCTAAGTATAAATAAAAGCTCAGGAATACAATTACCTCTACGACATCCAACAAATATTCTCTAGGCACAGGGATGTCATTACTGCTGTCAGGGAGAATAAGTGGAGGTATTTCTGCACAAGACAATTCAATCCATGGCAATCGCGAGCATTCTGCCTGTAAACAAAGCTGGACATCTTGGTTAGACAACGATTATGAAGACCTTTCCATCTTACGATCATACATGTAATAGACTCGAATGGCTATACAGGAAAATATAAGCAAAAAATACCGAGAAGCTGATTCTGAGAAGCATCCGCGGCCAATGAAGGAAGGTATTTCAATAAGCGCGAAAAAGGGGAGATAACGGGAAAGCAATTCGCGATTCGGTATAAAATTAAGCTCCTTCCGTCAAAGCGGTTGAGCACTAGTGACTAACTATAGGGAGAACACTGAATAGCTACTTGCAGTAGGCCACAAATCTTCGCCTTTCTGCATTTCATCTCAAAATTACTGCGGAATTCAATGCAAAAAAAAGGGTTCGTGATTCCTCACAGTGAGCGCGACCATAGTTTGGACCTTTTTCTCAATTTCCTTGGAAACTAACTGGTATTGCTATCATTCAATTGAAGGGAACAGAAATGGAGGCATTTAAAACTAGAAGTACGCGTAAACACCTAGTAACATCATGTGTATAATGAGTACACATAGACACCATGCACACAGGGAAAAAAGTGAAAAGCGCTATTTTGGTTTCTCTAATGGAGATCCTTCAACATCCTTGTCACAAGACAGCTTTTACTATTAGTTGATACGTATACAGTTGGCAATCATAACTACGAATGAAGCCTAAACGGCAAAGAAAACAAGAATGAGGTGAAAAAAATATCACAAAACCCAAACGATCAATTCAGTAAAGGCCATACCGCATCTTCCTCAGAATACTGAAAAGAGTCGTCGTTTGTGATACAATCAGTATCCTGCTCGTCTTCGATGAACACGTGCGATTCTAAAATGAACATGCTGCTATGTCAGCTTCCAAAATTGTCACTTTCATACATCCTCTGTAATGCTTATACAATAAACAGATAGAGCCCCGGGATCACTTACACAGAGAACTTGACTTGGACTTGGCAATTTGTAATCTGACCTAGATAAAGATTGACCCGAACAGGACAAGCCAAACTTGCCTTTAAACTACACCAGAGAGGTGGGCATTTCTAAAAAAAATCACCTTCCAATCCAATCCAAATTCAATCACTAAACACTCGTCAAAAGCCTTATCGACAGTAGTTAAATGGCTTAATCGCGCACTATGAAGGCTCAGCCTTAGCTGTTTTTTCGTCCGCATAATTCTCAAGACCATTAGCAATAATGGAGTTTTTTTTTGGCGCTTCATAAAACAGCTCCATCATCATTTAGTAACTATCAATTACTGCGGATTCATATCATGTAGTGGCATTACAACGTCAGCGCAATTTTTATAAAACTTTGAGGAGGATAGCATACATCCCTAGCCGAATCTGGATACCCGCAAACTTCAGGATGCTTCGTTGTATTATCGTACCCAAGGCTAGTTTCAGTAAAGTGATTGTACTCTACCTCTTCCGCAACCCGCACTCTAGGCAATCCCCGCTTAAAAAGTCATAGTTTACCCAAAACGTGACTTGCTTCAAAAACGCAATGAAACTGAAGAAAAAACAAGTACAAATACCCAAAAACGGCAACAACAAAATAGAAGCAACATAATGAGTAGGAAAACATACGCGATGATTTCAGCGAATACTCCTCCTCGCTCGAAGACGATTCAGATTCGGAGCAGGAAACGTAATCATAAGCACGATCGTCGCCGTCATCTACCTCCCACGGCCTTGAGTATTTACTTTTGCCTGAGGACCTCCCTCTCCCAGTCCTGAAAAGTTCATAAAGAATTCAAGATTGACAAACAATGAATCTACCTAGTAGCTGTTGCAAATAAGAAAAATACCATAAAATAGTCAGTATATGGCTTAATTGCATTAAAGAATGCTTCAGTTTTACAGATCAACGGTCCCTATGGGGTAGAATTACGCTGTTCAAGGGTACGAAAGGGATCTCTTGTACGGTACGTATGCTTGAGGTTAAGCCTGAGTAAAAGAAAGAAGGATTAGACATTCGATCGCGTCCACAATAATCAGCTGAAGCAATGGATCAAAGCGACAAAGTCAAAAAAAAAAGAAATGATATTTACGTAAAAGGAAAGCATAGTTTGAGTAAAAAACTACATTAAGGCAGATATGTGTTGAAGGTAGATTGGGAGAAAACAACCTTTTGTGTACTAAAAAACACGAACAACGCAAACCTGGTTCTTCCATCCGTGGAAGTTTTCGCTGATGACTGAGATTTTGCCTTTGATGCCGACGGCCGTCCCCGCTTTTTCTGTTGGGCTCTGTTTGAAGTTTTTGCATTTGTTTGTGCTGGTGATGCTTCTTGAGCTTGTGCTAAGGCCCTTTTCCTCAGGCTGATACGAAGGGAAGGAGCTCGTTCCGTAACCGGGAGTGCGACTCCGGGCATTGACTATTTCGGAAAGCCCCGACACTGTAAGCATGTTCTACTAGTAAAATCAAAATCCGGAAAATACTAAAAACACAAAGCGTGACAACACTCAAAAGTTTACCGTAAACCAGCTTACCGTATGACAACTGCCTTAACTAGTATGTGCATATCTCGATAGTAATGTGAGTAAAACTTTGCTTGTGAGTCTTATCATCCCGAAACTGGCAATATTAGCCATTTTCAAAGTTCTTTACATAGCAAATCTGTTAACCATGGCGCATTGGATTAACAATGGAGCAGATACATTGAAGCAAAAATGAATATTGTACAGAAGACGAGCAAGGATTGCGGACTTTTTACCATATTTTGTTCACAGCTACCATTCCACCCAGGGTCCCGAAGAGTTTCAAACTTTCGCATTTCTCCTAAGCCATGGGCATCCCAAAATTTGTGGCTGGTTCATTGACGGCATATAACCTAACGCCGGCTTTCCTCTGGGATGAGGGATGATGCTGAAGTGTTTTTGATGATTGATAAACAAAATTATAAAGTGCTAACAGGGAAGTTAGCTAAGGAAGGCAGCCTCGGCAATCGTTGTTTCGCAACCGCCGCGCTGACCCGCACGCATTTCTCTGCCTGCCTGCACCCTCTCCTGCACACCAACCAAGAAAACTCGAATTTTTGAAACATTTTTCAACAAAAATCCAAGCAAATCCATAAAAAAGGCTTCCTCATCTGAATTATGACGTCACAAACGAATCACGTCATCTGCTATGCTACCGTACTATACCTGCTCTGTTTCCCACGAAAAGCGTCAGCTACAGTAACCCTATTCACGCTAGGACCATTTCTTTGGTGAAGCCGCGGATTTCTACTCTTCAAAAATTTCTCCGTCGGTTTTAACTTTGATTTTTAAGCGTCGATATCGTGCTTTCTTGCTTATCTTCTTTTGGAATGCTTCTTTTTTTTACATCCTTATGTTGAGCATTGTAAATTCGTCAATATATGTGTTGTCGTGGGTAATTCACCTTTGAAGGAGGAACGCAGTTTCCTAATCCCAGGTTCCCAAGACATTTTTTGCATCTAATGAGGTTGTTACTTCTTGCATCCGAATCTCGTCGTCCTAATAATGTTTCAGATGGCTTATTCTGCCTTTTTGGATTCGTCATCCATAAATAACGATGTTCGTTATGGCGAATTATTCTCATTATTTGATAATGCGCAGGAATATTTCACGGTGGGTTGCTTTATCGACTGTTCGCTTTTACAAATGGTTTAAGTGTGTTTTGAAGTTTTTACTTTATCTATTCGGAGTTTGACTGTCAAAAGCTCTTGTAAACTCAGCAAAACTGATGACCTTCTTTATGGTAGTGTGCACTCGATAAATTTGAAATGTCCCGAACAAAACGGCATATTTGGTGTTATTAACTGTACAAAGTGAACATCCATTGCCGTTTCCATTTAATCTTTTCTTGTCAGTCACTTCATAGATTTGAGAATTCCTCCTGTGCCTCTTAAAAATTCCTGGTGAAATACCTCGTCGAAGGGTCAGGACAGGTAAAGGTTTTTATTGTATTCGTTGTCATTCTAGAATATGTTAAGGTATCTCATGAAGAAACGTTTGACAAACTTCTTTCGAAAGTTAATCAACTGCCGGTGAAGACTGGGAGAACAAAAATATGTTGCGAGCAGCTTAAACGACGTGAGTATTTGTGTTTCTTTTAAGTGCAAATAAACCCTGAACCGTGGTGATGACGTCACACTTGCTTGTGTGGTTTTTAGGAAATTCGGCAAAGCTTAATTCGGTGTATGAACAATTGGAGCACGTCTACTCCACTAGAGAGCAATTGAAGTCGCAACAGGAGGACCTACGAAAAACAAAAGTCAAACAGGAACGTGAATTGGAGGAATACCGAACCCAGCGTGAAGGTATTTTTTGCTTTCCTGTTTTAATCGTTTGTTTTTTCTTTGTCGGGCCAGAAATGAAATGATTCTGTTGTTCAAAGAAAAACAATAGAGTGTTATGGCCTCTTTTGAATTGTAAAATGCCGAATAATCCTATGCTTTCGGTAAAACACTATTAGTTCTTCCTTAAAATTCTAAGCTGGATAGTTGGAGGTGTTGATGAAATAGCCTTGGCATGGCCAAGAACAACGTTTGTTGGCAAAAAACCTGCTCGAAATCAAAGTATTAGTTTGAAAAGTCCTGCAATTCTTTCAACGAATTTTTGGAGATGTTCACAAAAAGATATTAAGTTAATCTAAGACATGCTTCCGTTCTTCGAACGGCTTCTCAATTCAACTATATCTGAAATCCTAACGACTGCATTGGAAAGAGTCTATTTTGTTTGCGAGTTCACGAAACGTATCGCGAGTTCTTTTGTCCTCTTCGGTCTGTTTTGGTGCTCTGAATAGTATTTTCATTCATGTCACCTGCATTATATTACGGTCTCCAAATATATATTCGCGCTGGCCTGCACCGCGTTATGAAAGGACATCTAGTTTTCGAGGGAGTTCAACGCGTGACTACCCCCTCCTTGGGAGCTGATTACAAAAGTTCTTGACTTTTAAACATTACCATGAGCAGGGTCTGCCTACAAAACAGATTTTGTTATGTCAGTACTGGTTCCTGTAGGGGAACGGCTTGTTTTGTAAAAGTTTGTTTCGAGCAATGACTAGAAGTCTTGTAAATCTTCACTCTTAATTNTATACAGCAAAGGAGAAGGAAGGCGAAACGTTCGGTAGCAGTACGTTTCTTTTTCTGAAATAATTGAGAAACCGCGTTCAGAACTTTTCAATCAACGCAAGGTATACCCCGCTCGTTAACGTCAATTCAATTCAAGCGTTCCGACGCCTAGTCACGAGTTTTATTGTTGTAGTAAGGTATCTATCGAGACAAATCTGAGCGTCTCGAAGGTTCTGCGTTCTGTTCCCATCGCATTTTGGATTAGTTCAGGGTTAAGTCTTTTCGAGGATTGATGTCTTGAAGTTTCTAACTTCTCTCATTTATGATGATTATTATGATCGCCCATAAAAAAGGATTTGTAGGTTAGAGCGGAAAACTGGTGGAGGGCCATACCATTCGAGCTGACCCAAAATCCCTTTGTTAAGCTCTCTTACAGTTATGTCTTCTGGAGATCAGTAAATTGGAAAATGGATTTGCTACTTATTCAGACTAACAATATTTGTACATGAATGTACAAGGAAATCTAAAAGATTGTTTGATTCTTCTTTGTATTTTTAGCCTCATAATTTTGCTTTTTTTGTCTTGATAGTACAACGGTAATGATTTAATTAAGATACGATTGAATTATGGCTGTTACCCCTGTGTTTTTGTTGTTTTTGTTTGCAAAGTTGCTCTTGAAGTGAGCATTTTTGAGATAGGAAAAAAAAACTATGCAGAAAGCCAGAAGAAGATCGAAAAGAGAGCCGAACGAGCCGAATGCATGCGTATTTCTGTCAAAATGGAAGCAGCCTCAGCTTTGGGTTTTATTGGGTATAGTCTTTTTGCTCTAGAAGAGTAATGTGTATAGCTTTCTTGTATGGTCACGCTTTGTACTTACCAAGCTATCAAGCTGTAGCACAAGAACTTTAATCGAAGTCATTTTGGTTACTATTGGTTACATAAGGAGTATCCAACAACGAGCGCAGACTTGGATTACTCTGTTCAATTCTTTTACGGTATAGCTGCGTGCTTGGACTGTTACGTTCCCACAATATTATCCTTTCCCTTTGATACCTCAGTTTTAGATGTCACTCGGCGGTATCTGAAGGTATCTAAAAACTGCGCAAAATTGGATCTGGAACAATCAGTTGTGTTGAAGGAAGTACTCGGAGGCTCGATAAAAAGGTATGAGTCTGGGTCTTTTTTGTTTGAGAAACGGATTGATTGTTGTCGATTGCAAATCATTCCTTTTTATCATTTTCTTTTTTTATCGCCACCTTGTATTTTAAGATTGGTCACAAAATTAACTGCAAAGGAAGCAAACCTGTTCACATCAATCTTTCCAGACGAGGATGGCCAAATATCAGGTATAATCTGTTTCATAACGTACAATATCTATACAAAATGTATTAGGTCCTGTTTAAAAGTGAACAAACATCCAAAGGGATAGTGGGAGGGAACAATGGTTGGCCAGCCTAACGACATTGCTTTAATCAGAAACTAAATCACTGCCCGAATTCGTCATCATGGCTACAGAGTGAAGTGTTTGAGAACTGAAAAATATTGTGAGCGACCGAAATTGTCGCGGAATCACCAGAGGGGACGTCGTAAAAGGAAAGCGCGCTGCTCAAACTCATCATGAACTGGAACAATAGTTGTAAGGTATCACGTTTTTCAAGCATTGTCGAAAAATGACAGCTGTGTCCAGCAGTGAAGAACGGACGCAGGTGAAGGTCGGGGTGATGCCGGTAGTGTTCACTCCTCAGGTAGATCGTGTAGATGAATTCAAGCGCCGAATGGTGGAACATAATGATTGGACCATTGACGGACTAGCTCGCGAGACCGGCACGTCTACTGAATAGTTGGAAATGGTCAAAAAAGGTGTATATGGGTACCCTCTGCATGCAGAAGCAGGAGTCCAGAATCGAATTGATACCTATATTAGTATTTTTTTCTGCTGATGATGTCATCAACTACTTTTGGTAGGGGCTTTGGCTGTAGAGAAAACATGGATTGGTTTGTGCAGTGAGTCCAAAAGGTACAAGCGTTGGGTTTTGAAAGATGCAATAAGGAGCCGCTCGAAATATATCACAAGGAGTCACGTGGTTCCAACCGGATACTTATCATATTCTGAAATGAAGCGCTTCTACAGTTTTCTTTTTTAGAGGAATCTTCAACTCTAAGTATGTTACCAGTTTATCGATTTTTTTAGGAAAGAGCGGAAGTCTTTATTTCACTGATCGTGAGTGCGCAAAAGCAAAATTAACAGAACTTTCGAGGTCCGATTGTGATGGTGCAAAAATACGAACACTATTAAGCGCATGACACACTGACTTCTTAGTTCTATCTGGAAAATTTCCTTGTTACCTTCACTATTTCACACGAGCAGACAGTCTTTAGCATTCACCGTGTTAGGAGCCGTTTTTGAAAAGATATAGCGGACATGGCCAGCAAAAGTCACCCCAAGTGCAGGACTCTTCGATCTTTGCGCTTAGGGATTGTGGTTTTAAAGATGGACGCAGTGGCTTCGCATTTAGTTGACGATTTTCCTATTATTGCAGGATCAGGTGATGACGAAAACATGGAATGAAATTCCTTCCCAATTGTAAATGGCTTCTACTCATCACCGTTACATTCATTACGTATTTTATATTTGTACTCACACTTCAATGTCTACATTTTTGTGTAATGCTTAAAAAAAACTTATCAATATCCTTTTTCGCTATTAAATAGCGTCGTATTCTTCAAAGCTTAGTGATCTCATCGTTTCAAGTAAAGTTATAATATTGCTCTTGTACAGAAATAACCTTTTATATTGTAACATATCCTGATTAATAAGTTAGTGAGCAAGCTTGTGATTGTCATTTCATGGTCATGTTCAATCTCTATGGCTTGTTTTCCAGTTTTTTGTGTCTTTTTCACATTTTTCTTCTTGATCAGTACATCTTTGTGTTACCTAACGGTGCCAAATCGTATTCATGAGAAATAAGAAAAGCCCGCAACCAATGTTTAGACCCTCTTTTTC